GAAGCTCAAGGGCCAGGGACCGCGCGGCTGCAGCGGCCCGCTCGGGGGCGCCCCGGGAGGGGACACCAAGAACTGAGGAGGAGCGCCGGAGGGCAGAAGGGCTCCGAGGCAGGATGCTGGATGCGGAGGACCTGACACTTCTTGGAAACTCTTGGAAATGGCTCCCGCCACAGCGCCGGAGGGGGCTGCGAGCCCAGGGCGGACGCTCGTCCCCGCTGGGCTGCTGAGCAGCGCTCGCGTGGAGGGCCCCGAGGCGCTGTCCCTGCGCCCCGCCGTCGGCTCGGGCTGAAAAAGTTTCTCCATGGTTCCTTTGTGTCGCCCGAGCGCCCGTTCGCCGGTCCCGAGCTTCCCCGGTCTCCCAGGGTAAGTGAGCGATATTGTTTGCGTCTAGTGCTGCCATTTTGAGCACTTCTGTCAGTCCCCAGCCCCGGAGCTGCCCCTCCCCAAACCTCCCGTCCCCAAGCTCCGATTTTCCCTTCTGATGTTCTGGGAGAGAAATTTCCCTGGGCGGGCTACCGGGGATGCGCTGCCCAGAAACAGCGAGTTCAGGATTGCCCTCACTTCGCTCCTGCCTGTCTTCTTTCCAGAAGCGGACTCGCAGCTGCTGCACTCATGTGACTCCAACAGAAATAAGCAGACCAAAGAGAAGGGCGAGGGGCGCGCTGCCCTGCCCGGGAGGGGCTGAGGGTCGAGGACTTGGGTTGGGTGCCTGGCACAGCATGGCGCTCGCAAGCCTGTGGGCTCTGAGCCTCAGTCGCCGAGTGGGGCTTAATCCATCATGAGCGGAGAACTTGAATGTCTCTCTTGGAAGCAGTTGTATTTTTAGACATCACTCCTTTTCTCCCCCCCACCCCATCCTCCATTCCTTAGCCACGGAAAGATCAGCGCCAGGCAAGTCATTTGCGAGGGCAGACAATCTCCACTGCTAAGTTTGCTTTCTTGCATTAAGTCTAAAGGAAAAACCTCAAAGGTGGGTCTTCCTGGGCTCCTGACCTTTGTCAGTATTTCGTCAGATGGTGATAGGTTGGAAAGGGGTTAAGCTTTCAACAGGGCTGGAGGAATAATAAACTAGGGAACTAATTGGTAGCTATTAAACTAATTCTAAAGATCTTCTGTAAACGATTGTTGAAATCCATCTCAATCTTCCCCACATCCTATGCCAGCCAAAGCCGCCTTTCCGAGGAGAAATACATGTGGGTGCCTTCCTCCCCCAAGACAGTCAACATCCTGGTACACCTTATCAATGCTTAAACAAAACGTAAGCCCTTCTCTCCTGGGAGAGCCACCCTACAGACTGAGTCTGGATTTGCTTCTACAATGTCTTGTCCTTAAAGCCTTCTTGAAGATAACCTCAGACCTCCAGATTATTAAAGATCCTGGAATCCAGGGGCCAGTTAAAGTAGCAGCCTCTAAGTTGCAAGTACATAAAAAAAAAATGTTATTATAGGTGGTGTTAGTGTCCTTCCACCCTTTACATACAGGTACATACACAATGTTTGTACTTATTGGTACAGCTCCTTTGAAGAAAAAAATTCTAAAGGCTTGCAGATATGTTCTTTCTACTGACCCTTCCTTAACCTACCTAGTGTTTCTTTTTACTGAACCTTAACTAAATTCCAAAGAAGTATTGATTTGCAGACATTCTAAAGAGCTGATTAACATCTGCTTTCCCACATGGAGAAAAGATCCTGCCTATATTGATACAATGAAAGGAATTAGGGGCCAAGGCTTTTCACCCAAGCAACAATTAAAAGCAAAAATTTGCCTAAGTAACCCTACATTTGCAAAGGGTAATTTATTCTAAAACATGATTTATCTTAAAAAGGCTAAAAGACTTGTGAAAGATACTTACATCTTTCAGATTCACGCAATGTCCTTAATTTGAGCATCTCTACTATAGGAGATAACACAACCAATGGGACAGAAAATGTTATACTCTGAGGATTCAGAAAGCCTGGAATTTTAAGAAGCTGACAGATAACTACAGATAGGGCCTCTGTGATTTTTTTTTTAACTTGGACTCTATTACAAACAACTAAATAAACTTCCTCAGGATAATCCATTGATTATTGCTACTATCCCTTCCCAAAAATGACCTCATGAGAAAAGGATGAAGAAAACAGCTCTCACTTGGGGAAATGCCATCCTATAAATCATCATTATTATGTCGACTGCTTCACCTAGTTAATTGCCTACTCATTTGAATGCTGGGATTCTGTAGACTGCTCTTGGCACATTAATAAGGGGTCAGAAAGCTATTGTGGCAGTTTTATTTTTTTTTTAAGATTGTAATTTTCCTACATGAGGAAAAGATTTTTCTCTTGGAGATTCCAGGGGACTTCTGGAATTCCCTGATGAAATTAGCACAAGATACCTTTAAGGAAGTCCCTCTGAGGGGAGGAGAGAAGGCCAGAAGGAAGAGCTCAGTTACATAACCATTACCTAAAACTAAATATTCCACCCCAAGAAGCTGTTCAGATGTTGCAGAGTAAAGATGAGAAGGCTTGAGAAGGATCTGCTTGCCTTTAGCTGTAGGAACAAGAATAGGTGAGAGCAAACTTTGTGAAGGGACTTATTGTCACAGTACTGAAATATGTCTGGTATTTTCTTAGCAATGAATTCTGTTAATTATCTGGAGGAAATAAACTGTCTTCCTGCCAGTGTATGTAGCCTTTCATTTTCATCCGTGAAATGAATTCTTTGCACCTCCATACAATAGTAACTTTCATGACTATTTCAATAACTTTAGGCTCCACATTGAGAGACTCCTGGGCTTGCCTGAAGACTTGCCACTTCTGTGGCCCCTCCCTTGGGAAATCTTCTGTGTCCAGTGAGACAAAGGAAGAGAAAGACTCTTGCCATGAGAGTCCTCAAGTCCCCAAACTGAGTATCAATTATTGGCACGTCATTGACTGCCAGCCAAGAGGGTTTGAAATGAACATTGGTGGATTACCTATGTGTGGGGGATGGGATGGGGACGGAAGGAGAAAACTTCTCAAAATTATTTCATCATCACCTGTCAGTTATGGCAACAGTGCTTCTCTTCATTTGTATCTACCCACTTTTGGTCTCTGTGCTGGGCGCTTAGATTAGTGGGTAAAGGTTCAGGAGAGTGGGTGGTGGTCACATATGAGATGGGATCCGGGATCCTGGAGTGGGGCAATTGCAGCACGTGGGATGTTGCTGCAGTCAAGCCTTCACCCTCTGACTGTCTTCCTCTGCTTTGCAGCAGGAGGAGGTGGCGAAGCAGCTAGTGGGCAGCTGGCGCCCCCTCTGCACAAGCCTCTGCCCCAGCCCCACAGGCGAGCCCCTATCTCCACGAGTTCGACATGATCGCCACAGGAGGCCTTCTGAGGATTTCCGCCAGAAAGCAGGATCCCCTTCGCCCCCCAAGCCAGGTCCCTAAGCGCAAGAGGAAAACCAAGAAGAGGCGCAAGAATGACGTGGTAGTGGTGAAAGGCAAGCTGAAGCTCTGCTCCATTTCCGGCCTTATCGCCCTCTGCGGGATCCTCGTGCTACTGGTGGGCATAGCCATGGCTGTGGTGGGCTACTGGCCAAAGACCAACACGGCCAATAGGGAGGGCAGTAAGCAGCTGCTGGCTGCGGGCAGTGCCAACCGCGGCCTAACCACCACCGCCAACAGCAGCAGTGGCAGCAAGAACTCGTCCAGGACTCCGGTGGGTGTCAACTCCAGTTCCGTGGGCGTGCCCAGAAGCACGCCTCCAGCGCAGTCAGCCGCCCCTCCCTCATCCTCTTCCAAGTCGGTGGGCTTCTTCTTTCGCATCTTCTCGGGTTACCTGCACTCAGACAAGCTCAAGGTCTTTGGGCCGCTCATTATGGGCATTGGCATCTTCCTCTTCATCTGCGCCAACGCGGTGCTGCACGAAAACCGAGACAAGAAGACCAAGATCATCAACCTACGTGATCTCTATTCCACCGTCATCGACGTGCACAGTCTTCGCGCCAAAGACCTGGCTGCAGCTGCAGCAGCGGCTGCTGCCGCCGCTGCCTCCTCATCGTCCTCGGCTCCCACCTCGGCGCCCCCTGGGACTGTGCCGCTCAACGGCTTCCTGAGCTACGTGCAGTCGCGGGGACTGGAGCTGAAGCCCGGAGGCTGTGGAGGTTCTGGGGACACCTTCGGGGCGGCAGCAATGCTGGCCAGGGGCTCCTGGCCCCACCCCGCGACACTGGGAGGGGGCGGCGGAAGGGCCCGGGGCGCAACGTCCCCACCCGACTTGGCCTCATCCCCGCGCTGCCTGCGAGAGCCCCCGAGCCTGGCAGAAGCCGTGTACAGTATCTACCGC